AAAAAAAAAAAAAAAAAAAAAACAGAACATCATCACTTTGTAACTATGTTTGTTCTGCCCTCCCATTACATGTCCGTACCCCTTCCCCCTCCTGTTGTGGCCATGAACCGCACAGGCCTCCGCTTATTATCACATCGTAACAGCGTTTCTCGTTCATCATCGCACTTGATTGACGAATGACCGCAATTCTTTTTCAAGTGGCTATGGTACATTCTGCAAAATCAAGCTTTGCTCACTGGCTAGAGCCTTCACAATGGCAGGCAATGACCTAAGCCAAGCTCAACTCCCACAGCCTTTGGTTTGGCAGAATGCCAACCGACAAAACGACTATCGGCCATCGTATACCGATCTTGCTTCATCTTGACCAAGGCTTGAACGTGATTGTGAAATGCCTTCCACGATTCAGACCCCAAATTCGGATCTCAGGTTGAGATGCCCAGGCCAAGAAAAGGCAGAGGTCGTCAAACTCAGAAAAGTCACAATCGGGTACCTCAGCAGTCTGGTCCACCAGGCCCCCAGCAAGCAGTCACGTCTCATAATAAAAGCCATTCAGAAGAGTCACATTCCACGAGTGAAAAGGCAGATTCACCAAGCAAGAGTCATGTCTCAAGACAGGAGTCACGTTTCCTAATGAAAAGTCATATTGAAGAGACACATCCCACAAGTAAAAGGTAGTATCACAGGCAAAAGTCGTGACCCACAGGCAAGAGACACTGTCCACAGTCAAAAGTCATGTTCGCAAGTGAAAAGTCATGACTCAAGGGCCCAAGCAGCAGCAGTCCAATGGAAATTCGGGAAGGTTCCAATCCTTGACATTCAGTAGCAGACAGGCCGTGGGGATGTGGTACCGGAACCAGACAGGACCCAAGAAATAGGGGCTGGCACGAGTTGAAGTGCAAACCAAGACTATAAAAGGACTGGCCAGCCTCAAATTCGGGCAGATTGCTCATTCGCAAGAAGTGTGGAAGTGCTGGTGCACTTGTGCGCTGAAGTGAGGAGCAGAGCACTGAGGCCAGAGTGTTGCGCTAAGTGAGAGAGAGAGAGAAGAAGATAGCGCTGGCAGGGAGAAGGCAGCCAAAGCTGCGCCAGTGCAGAAGAGTTGGTGCCAGTTGTTAGTGGTAGACTCCAGTGGGGTTAGTATACTTCACAGTGGGTGTATTCAGAGTAGATCCATGAAGTAGTAGATAGTGAGTGTGAATGCATGTAGGGAGAGAAGACACAGCGAGGTCATCGCTAGGGAGAAGACAAGGTGGAGAGAAATATAAGAGGGAAGAGCAGAGAGGAAGAGATACTTACCTGAGAGTTTATGCTGATTATTGGTTACCTATTGGCACGCGCTGTTGAGCGCTGGTGACTTGAACCCTTATTGCGCTTGTAATACTTTGTGGAAAAGATAAGCTGCGCTACCTGGTCTTCATCTCCCTGGTCTCCAGTGCGAATTTCCGACTTCGTGTGAACTCATACATGCATGTGGTGTGAACATGTGCACTCATTGGTGTTGAACTAGGAGGTTCATTGCAATCGATTGCTCTCCTCATGCCTGCATGCATATGGCTCTCAAATTTTGTCTCAGTTCACAGCTTACATGCCACATGTTTGCATCAATATGATCAATCCCACTTTGTTTGTGTATCTCTGTGTGTGTGTGTGTGCTGCGTGTGTGTGTGAGTGTGTGTGTGTGTGTATGAGTGTGTGTGTGTGTGTGTGTGTGTGTGTGTGTGTGTGTGTGTGTGTGTGTGTGTGTGTGTGTGTGTGTGTGTCCCGCCCTTCTAAGCCTTACATGCCACATATTTGCATTGATATGATCAATCCCACATTGTTTGTCTGCACTCTCTAACTCGCCCAGATATTCCTACTCTGTCGTTTGTGGTCATCAACATTTTTCTCCACCTCTTCCTTGTTGGTGCCGAAACAAGATGTCCTCGCGAACAGACAACGACCACACGGAGTTCACGTCACTGCCAGTTATGCAGCGAATAGGCATATCAAGCCCCATAATTCCCTTTAGAAGGGCGACGCCCTTGAGGTATCATCATCATCGAACTGACTGGCCATACTTAATTCAGAATTGTAATATTTGTATTTCACTACTTTACTCATCTGCTTCCAGAGGAGTTTGAACTCTGCACCTAGTCTGTATTTCAACAGTACAGGGGTGTACCAACTGAGCTATGCCAGTTGGTAGGCCCTGCAATTCCTTTTTTTTATTTTTTTCCCCTTCAGAACTTCCCATTTCTCAATTTATGTGTGCCATCCTTGCACAGGGGCCATGCTACTCTTCTTTCACTGTATCGTTCCAATTTTAACGGATGTCGGGAAGGACAGGCCCTACAATTCCTATATATCAGACGATCAAATGTGAAATCTCATGACCCATACCACTGTCGTCCCCCGAATATAACGCACCCTGATAATGAATGTATGCAGACTATCTTTCCGTCCCCGATACAGTCAAAATGGGGGGGTGTTGTGCTCGGGAGAAGACGGTAGCTAACTGCCATTTCGTCAAAATGGACGTCTTTTATTTTTTGAACGAAATTGAAACCGAGTTTTTTGGCGGAAAACTCGTCAAAATTTGCTGTTCCTGAGGGTCCGGCGTTTGTAAAACGCTGGACCCCCTGCAGTACATGGACCTAGCTTGAGACCAGGGACATCCAGGCAGGAGGCAGGACTGCCTGGATGTTACATCTTCGACGCCACACGGGTCCTACCGGACCCGACTTAGGGCTAGAGGGACACACCAGGGCCTAAAGGCCCGACCTTGGGGTACTACA